TTAATGGTTCATATGTGATCTAAAAATGGAAGAGGCAGAAATGAAAGGCTAGCCATGCATAAAATATTGTTCTTTGAGAGCTGCCTCTGTGCATTGACTTTTGTGGAATGGAACGGGCACCTCTGGCAATCAGTCTAAAGAACCCTCCCCAGAGCTGGACCCATTTGAGGGACGAGGGTGAAGCTTTGAATATTCAGTAACTCAAGTTACATAAAGGAGGGCATGCTCACAATCCCAACGCTTCCTTGCCCTGAACATCAGTCCTGAATATACAGAATTTCTGAGGCAGAGCAAGGAAGCAGAAAGTGCACAAAAACAACTCTTGAACAACAGGAGTGGTAAGTTCACTTTCTATTTTGAGAGCCTTGATGTACTTCCACTTGCAGGAAACTAATGAAAAGCATTACTTGGGCGCAAGGTGCAACAAGAGTTCTCAGCGAAACACGGTCACACTGCTCTCCCTCACTGAGCATCAGAGGTCATGCCAAATCCAAAAAGGAATGCATGGAGTTATATAATAAATTCCAATGATCTGTCGTGCTAGAGGTACTTAAGTGCCAAAAATATAGAAGTAGTCTTCAGCCCTGAGGGAGCTAGTACCCTCTGGTAGCTAGATAACAGATAGATGATAGAAAAAAAACACAATACAAGTTCTAATCCATGTCCATAGAATTAATACACGTTGTTATGAGTTGCAAAAAACCCTTGTTGAAGCTTGGGGATAAGACCTGCCTTTTCTTCAGGATAAACATAAATGATAAATTCAGCTCCTTTACTGAATACATAGCTTAAGCAACTGGACCTTGTTCCAAAGCAAAATGATAGGTAAGACTGGAAGAGGAATGGATCCATGTAGCCTAGTATGAACTGATAACAAACTGAAGGCAGAGGATTGATTGGCTTGAAGAAGCATGCCTGTGTGTGTAACAAAAGAGGAGAAAAATGCCACCAGGACAGGCACAGAGAAGGAGAAGAAAAGAGAAGAACAAATACTGGGAGCAAGGCCCTGAGAAGAAAGCTTAGCAAAAGGCTGATGGACACACAGAACTTTGAGCAAAAACTATCCCCTCTTGCTGAATTCCTACATGTTCATGGAAACAAGATTTTGCCCATCTTTATAAACAGTTTTACATAAAGGAAATGCATGGCTATATAATCCATTTCTCCCCATAACCAAATCAATGCACGAGACCAAAAACTGACCATCTTCTTGGGTTAAAAAAAAAGGGACATACAACATCCCACCTAATCAGAACCTTGAGGCTCTTACCTTTTTGCTATAATGGACTCTGGTCTGTTGCTCTTTATTTCCTGTCTTTCAGCCTGAACTTCTGCAGATATGCCAGAGAAACAAAACCAGGAGCCCTGCTGAAGTGGTATTAGCTACAGTACCAACTTGAACGTGAGCAGGAATATGCGCGTAACTTTCTGACACTAGCTTCTTTCCTGCTAGTCTCTATTAATAAAAAAACCCTCAAATATTGGACTGAAAACACTGAATAAGGAGTGTTAGTATCTTATCAACAGTAACTGGTGAATCATGACACATATCCCGAGAGTTAAAGAATATGCTTTGCAGAAGAATGCATCTTATCAGCAGGTTGATCAGGGGTGTAGAAAGACTTGTTTTCACATCTGCTCCCTTCTCCAGATTGGGGTGGGAAATTATTTTGATTGGAGGGTCTCTTAACAAGTTCTGGTGAGCTGTTGAGGGCCGCAAGGGTAGCCCTGCCCCTTGACAGGTGCCCCACCCTCTGGTCACCAGCCTTAGTCCCTGACTTTTGCCCCCGGAAGTACTTCTTTTGGGAAGGTGGTTTGACATCTTGGAACTGGAAAACAAATTATATACTAAAAATCAAACATCTACAATATCATATTTTAATGTTATGTCAAAAATATTTTTGCCCAGATTTATGTGCATTTGTGTCATATATAGAGGTGATTGCATAATAGCTCAAAATGAAGTCTTACTCTCATATATTGCACGGGAGGAAGTGGCGGGTAAGGGGTTTGTGGGGGTGTAGGTATATGTGTGTGGATGTGTGTGTATGTAGGGTGTGGAGGAGGGTGTGAGTGTGTGTGGGGTTTGTAGGGGTGTGTGAGGGTTATGGGTAGCTGTGGGGGGTGTGGGTGGATGGGTATGAGGTCTGTGGTTGTGGGTGTGTGAGGGGTAGGAGAGGGTGGGGCTGTGGATGTCGGTGGGGTTTGCAAGGGGGTGTGGGTGTGAGTGGGTATGGGGTCCCCCCTACAAACATACTCCCCACCATTGCACACAGTCCCTGAAGCCAGTGGCAGCACTGAGCAAAGCCCCTTGGCAGTGCACTGTCCCAGCAAGCCCCAGGACTGCATAAGGCCGGGCTACCATGGGGCTTGGGCTCTCCACGTGCGCAAGCCCCATGCTGCCAGGGGGAGCCCTGTGCGATGAAGTGAGTGGTACAGGTTATGGGGTTTGGCCAGGGTGGCAGGGAGAGGGGTGGAGCTGGCACAGCTCCATAGCACAGACCTCCCTGCCATTCCCCATGACCTGTGCGTAGCAGTGAGCAGGGTGGGCCACCAGCTCCATCGCATGAGGATCCTGCCCAGAGGCACATGGCTTGGGTGGAGAACCTGGGAACTGCATATAAGCCCTGCACAGTGCACCACACCCCTGCTGGCCTGGGCTCCGCGCTCCCGCCACTCTGCCCTGGTCCCTGCTAGCCCTGACCCTGGGGCACCAGCACGGGCCCTGCACTCCCACCCAGCTGCCACTTCACTCCCACCCAAAGCTGCCAACATTCCTCCCTGCCCACCCACCCTTCCAACACTGCTGCCACCACCACTCCCACCCCTCGCTGTTGCCGCCACCGCTTCCCCTGCCCCTGCTGCTGACAACCTTCTCCTGCCACTTGCCTACATTCCCACCATCCTGCCACAATCCTGGTTGGACCTTACGTACTCTTAATTCTAATAAACAGTCTTTAAATAACACAAAAAACTGAATGTTTCTGGCTCTCAAAGGAGCTACATTTTCATTAAAATCACTTGGACTTTTAATGTAAGACTCCCTCTTTATCTACAGCCACATTAATAAACTCTATCATCACAAAGCAAAGATATCTGAGCAGTCTTAGAAGATCATTTTGTGGTGTAAAACTTCAGTAATACTGTTTACTGTAAGATATTAAAAGAAAGATTTCTAGTGCAATAAACTGATTGCAATTCCATCAAGGTTTATTTTCACTTCTGAGCTGTAGGCCACTCAGTCTAAATTACAAAAGTTTGGTGGAAGCTGACAAAGTAAATTCAACGAGCAAGGAGAAGACTCTGTTAATTGGCTAAATATAAACATCAGCTTGAGCTAATACAGAGGTCAGCAACACACAGCCTGTGGGCTGGATCTGGGGCTTCAGCAGCATTTGGTGGCAGGCTGCACTGGCACAGCTGCTCTCCCTGTATTGCTACAGGAAGAGGCGGATGCCTTGGGAGCTCTCCAGGTGCCACCATGAGAGAAGCAGAGGTGGCAGTGGCTGGATCCTAGCACCCTTCCACATGCCTATACACCTGTGATCCAAGCTGAGTCAGTCTGGTCCACAACCTGAAATGGTTGCCAGCCACTGGTCTAATACATTTCTCCACAGTGTGTTCACAGTATAATCTTGACAGCACACTATCTCATAAACTTTAAGGATTTACTAGACCGCCATAAGGAATGCTATCTAACAGCAGCAAAGGGGGGTTAGAATAGCAATATCTATATATAATAGCAATTGGAATCCCTCAAATACCTAAAATATATAGATTAGGTAACTGAAAAAAAAATAAAATAATGGGTTGACATCCAATGTTGCTCTGGTGAAATATGGAAATAAAGGGAAAGACTGTAGTATAACTCATGTTCCCACAGGGCCACACAATACCTCTTTTAAAACATCACTTTGTGACACATACAACACTCAGTTCCTAGAACTGATGTTATAATAAGGCATTAAGAATACAGTAATAAATACAAATATGACATGATCATTTTTCTTCCATTATGCCCTCAAATAGAGGAAGACTACCACAACTCCAGAACTTAAAAAACAAAATAAAGCCATCAGGAAAAGGTTTCTGTTTGCCCTTCAGCATTTCTGATTTCTCTAAAACTACTGCAAATTACCACTGGGACAAACTGCTACTCTCCTGAAAATTAGAAGTAGGTAGAGAAGGAATCTGGAATAAAGCTGTCCTGGTAAGAAGTACAGCATCATTTATTTTTAATAGTCCTTTCAAAAAAAGTTCTGTAACTTTTAATATTTAAAAACTCTGAACCACAAAATGGAGAACAACTAGGTATGGCTATCTCCTTTCAGAAGAAAGGGAAATCTGAGCCACGCAGGAGAAAAAATACTTAACATAATTTCTATCTTTTTCCAGTCTGCTTTGGATTTATAGCTCTACTCCTTTAAATGTTTTTAAGTCTCAGTCAACAATGAGCTATCCAGCTGATTTCCAGTACAGAAACAAGAAATACTAATTGCACTTTCCATGGCTACAACCCTATATATTCCTTCTGTTCAATATTTAATTATGTGGAGAAATGTCTGAAGAATTGTCCACCTTAAAATGTTTCTGAAACTCTAAAAATCTAATTACTGTAGTTTCTGACCTAAAGGTATGTGACAAATGTACCTAATATAACTCCCAGCTTCACAGAGATTTTGAACTTGGAATCCAATTGCACATAAAAAAGAACAATACTAAAGATAATTCTCCAGCCATCTCCTTTTATAGGATATTAAAAAAGAAAACTGTAGTGGCTGGAAAACATAATTAATATTTATTATGCTATTTATCAAAAAGAAAGAAAATAATTATGTCTTTTTCTAAGAAATATGAGAGAGACATTGAATGACCGGATTTAGCAGTGAAACCTCTGGAGGTTACTCCACAGCAAAGAAAGAAATAGAAAAAAAACCAGAAAATAATTACCTGCTATGCATAAATTAAAATACTGCAAAGTTATACTTATTTGTACTCACAGTTGACACTGGTCTCCTTTGATCCCTTTTGTTGTGCAGAAACATTTTCCTGTTTGCATGTGGCAAACATTGGCGTGTCCACTGCATGTGCAAGCTATAAAACCAAAAGGGGAAAGAGGAGATTTAACAGTCTATATTATATTTATAATGAAATGTACATTTATGGATATTAATATTGTATCCTAAATGCATTACAAAGAAGGTGCGGTCAAGGTATTAGAAATTAGCATTATGAGGCCCTTTTACATGTATATCACTAATACAGTCATTTAATTTATATTCTCCAGTGTTAGGAACGCCAGTCTGAACGCGTCTTTAGGGAGATTTCATCGAAAGATTACTGACACCATAAATAACAACGATTTCCGTCATTACGGTCTGTCATTTCAATGTGACTTGTATACACAATGGCAAATATATTAGTAATTATTAACAATAAGAGACCTTTCCTATGCAAAGTGAAATCCTGACCTATAACAAAATGGCAAAATCCTGTTGATTTCAGTGGAAACACAGTCTTGCCTGCTATGTGTAACCAAATGAGGCTCTCCCGAAGGTACCTGATAAAATATACAACATACTTGGAATTCCTGTTATACTGGATGAAAATATAACAAATATAAAGATTTTAAATCCCACTTGAACAGCAGCTAATTTAATACTGCATTTGTGGTTCAAGGCAAGAGCACTCTAGAAACAAAAATAAAGCAAGTACTTTTGCTTTTTAAATACCCCTGAAACCTCAGTGAGAGAGCAAAGAGAATCTAGGAAGTTCATTTAAATGTATGATAAGTCAATTTAAGGTCCCAACAGGTTGTCAAAGAGTACAGCTCTGTGTAGGCTGATTCCCATCTACCCACCCTTGATAACTTGTGATGATAGATGTTGCATGATCTGCATATAATGGAGTTGCCTCTGGGTATCCCTGTGCAGTGTATTGAAAGAATAAGATCTGTACAGTTACATAAGCAGGACATCGGGTCAGGTTAGACTTAACAGTATTATAAATGTTACCAGAGTATCAAACTGCTCCTGAACATGAACAACTTCTTTTTCAATAATTCCAAACCTACCTAGGGATTGGATCCTGCTTTCATTGAAATTTTAATTAGAACTGAAGTTTTAATTAGAACTGCAGTAAAAGATGTTATGTATGGTCTTCTGGATGGCCATCAATATAAAACTAAATGGTGACCTGCATGTAATAAAACTTTATTTGCCACTTTACAATCCCATTATTAAAGGACTGTTTTTCTTTTTGGCAGAGGGACTAAGTTTTAATGCTCTGATTTCGTTAAAATACAAAGCCCATTCCTGTGACAGTGTCCTAGAATACACACCCCAAAACCATATGGCTTCCCACTCATACTGGCGTACAAAGAAACAATAGTTATTTAGCAAGGCTGAATCCAAAACTATGGAGTATAAGGCACGCATGACAAAATATACAATTCAGAAAACAGAGACATCCATGTATTTGGGATACAGCGTATCTAACATTTCAGAGAGATCTTTGTCAATGTTTTCTTCACTTATTAATAGTTAACAGACCAGAAGCGGGCAAAACACTGCCTGCAAGCGAGATCCAGCCTGCCAGGCAATTTCATCTGGCACACGGGCACCCACCAATTAATTGTACCCCGTCCAGCCTGCACGCCTCGCTCCCACCCTCCTGCACAGAAGGGCCTGGCCCAGGCATCATGCAGCTTCTGGGTGGGACTGTTGCCGCCACTGCTGCAGCCACTGGGGCCCAGCTCAGCTTCCTGGGTGTCCAGCAGCTCCTCTTCATCTGCCTGCTGCAGCACTCGCTCAGGGCAGCAGGTAGGGAAGCACAAGGGAAGGGAGAAGGAAGTTGGGCAAACAGTCAGCAAAACTGAGTGGCAACCGTCGATCCTCCTGGATCATGCTGTGTGCATGAGGACCACACCTTCGATTCATATGCCTGGGCAGGAATTTCTTGGAGGACTGGAGGCTACCCAGACCTTCCATCCTCCCTTTAGGCCACTGAGATAGAATCCAAAGACCAGCCCGAGTCCAGATGTTGGGTGCTTCCATGGCTGTAGTTGTATAAGTGTCCGGGAAGTGAACCTAGGTCTCCTGTATGGTAGACAAAGATTCTACCACTGAACCACAGGAGACACCTTTCAGCAAAATTAGAACGGTTGATTTCAAAAAGGCGGATTTCATCTAACTTAAGGAAGTCAATAAGCATGGTGTCATAGGAGGACAGATTGAAGGATAAAGGCACCCAAGTAGGGCTGGGAGCTTCTAACCGTTACAGTATTAGAAGCCCAACAAGAAGTGTGGTTGCACCTGCACAAGGAGCTTCTAAAATGCCTCAAATGCAAAAGAAAAGCATACAGACAATGGAAGAATGGGCAGGTCACCATGGAAGCATACCAGGAAACAGCAAGAACCTGCAGCAACAAAAATCAAGACATTAAAAGTAAAGAAGTCAAGAATGGCAAAGGAGGTTAAGGCAACAACAAGAGGTTCTATAACTGCTGCCTAGAAAAGATGGACAAAGGAAGTTGTGGGTCCTCTGTTAACCAGCCAGAGGGAACTCCTAACCAAAGATGGAAAGAAGGCAGATCTATTCAACAGCTACTTTGCCTCAGTCTTCACAAAAACAAAAAACCAAAAAAAACCTCAAGCTGCAGCCAAACACCTATCAAGGACTATCTGGATAAGGAAGGGGGCAAGTTGAGGAAGGTGATATGAAAGAGACAGTAAGAGAGCTTTTTTGGGTCTAAATGAATTCAAGTCAGCAGGGCCAGATGAACTTCAACCCAGAGTACTGAAGGAATTGGCAGAGATCTCAGAGCCCTTGGCAATGATCTTCATGAAGTTGTGGGAGATGGGCCAGGTACCAGAAGACTGGAAAAGGGCCAACATAGTATCCTTCTTTTAAAAAGGTGAAAACAGTACCCAGGGAACAACAGACAGGTTAGCTGCACCTCAATTCCCGGTAAGTTACTGGAGCATATCCTCAGGAAGGCAATTTGCAAGCATCTGGAGGAGGAAAGGCAGTCAGCATGGAGTTATGAAAAACAAATTATGTCATACAAACCTGGATAAACCTACTACAAGGTGAATAATAAATGGCTCAATAGTCACAAGCAAAGGGTAATTATTAACGGGTCCGTGTCAAACCAGCAGGAGGTTTCAAGTGGAGTCCCACAGGAGTCTGTCTTGGACCTGGTGTTGTTTAACATGTTTCGATTCATAGATTAATAGACTGTAAGGGGCTGGAAGGGACCTCACAAGATCATCGGGTCCAGCCTGCCTACACTAGGCAGGAAAGACAACTGAAGGTCAAGTGACCCCAGCAAGGTGACAGTCTAGTCTCCTCTTGAAGATTTCCAGGGTAAGTGATTGCACCACCTCTGGAGGGAGTTTGTTCCACAGTCCAGACACCTTCATTGTGAAGGAGTTTTTTCCTGGAATTGTGCCTGAAGCAGCCTTCTAGGAGTTTGTATCCATTGCTCCTGGTTTTCCCCAAGTGTGCCCTGGTGAATAGTTGTTCGCCGAGCTCTTCATGTATTCCCCTGATGTAGTGATAAGCTGCTACCAAGTCCCCTCTCAGCCCTCTCTTTATATGGTCTGCCTTGCAAGTCTGTGATCATACAGGTGGCTCTTCTCTGGACCCCCTCTCAAGTTTTTCCACATCCTTGCTGAAGTGCAGCGCCCAGAACTGGATGCAGTGCTCTAGCTGCGGTCTCACTAGTGCTGAGTACAGTGGAAGAATCACTTCCTTGGTTTTACATGAGATGCCTCGATTGATGAATGCCAGAGTGGTGTTTGCCCTGCTGGCTACAGCATCGCATTGATGGCTCACATTTATGCGATGGTCGATTATTACCCCTAAGTCCCTTTCGGCTGTGGTCCAAGTCAAGTTGTTGCCACCAAGCCTGTCGGTATGTTGGGGATTGTTTGCTCCCAGATGGAGCATTTTACACTTCTGAGAGTTGAACTTCATCTGGTTCCAATTTGCCCACCTCTCCAACCTGTCCAGGTCCGCCTGTATCTGCAGCCTATCTGCAGGCGTGACCACGCTCCCCCATAACTTGATGTCATCTGCGAACTTGGCCAGCGAGCTCTTCATCCCCATATCCAAATCACTGATAAAGATGTTGAAAAGCACCAGAACTAGCGCAGACCCCTGAGGGACACCACTGGCCACTTCTCGCCAGGACGACACAGATCCATTCGTAAGAACTCTCTGGGTCCTACCTCACAGCCAGTTTCCCGCCCACTGAACTGTTGCGCAGTTAAGCCCACAATTTTCCATTTTTCCCACGAGGATATCATGGGATACTAAATGAAAGGCCTTTTGGAAGTCTAGGTATACAACGTCAACCTCCTCTCCCATGTCCAGCTGGCGAGATACCTGGTCACAGAAGGAGATGAGATTGGTAAGACGAGACCTGCCCCCAACGAAGCATGCTCTATGATGTATTGCACATAGGCTCCTTGATGAGTTTTTCTAGGATTTTCCCTGGGATAGAAGTTAGGCTGATTGGCCTATAGTTGCCTGGGTCCTGAACCTCTTTCCTTTTTTGAGGTTGGGCACAATATTGGCCCTCTTCCAATCCTCAGGGATCTCCCCTGAGTGCCACGATTTTTTTTAAAAGATTCACCAGGGGTCCCACAATGACCTCAGCCAGCTCCTTCAGCACTCTCGGGTGAAGTCCAGTCCTGCTGACTTATAACTGTCTAGCTTTTCTACTTGGTTATGCACCAGCTTAGCATCAGTGGGAAGGCTGTCATTCCCATTTATAATTATTTGGATGTTAGCATAGAAAGCTTCTTGAATAAGTTTGCAGAGGACATGAAACTGGGAAGGACTGTGAACATACTGGAGGATGTGAGCACAATTCAAAAGGAATTCAACAGATTGGAAAGCTGAGCAGCCCAGCTACCCACTCCCCTCCTAGCCACAAGTGCTGTGCGGGTAGCCCAGTTCCCCCTCCCTTCCTGGCCAGGTGTGACATATGGCCAGCCCCCCCACACCCTAGCACAGGCAGCCCTGCTCCCCCCTGCTGCATCTGCACCACCTCCCTCCCCTTTTAGCCATGCACCCATCAGACATGC